GCGGTGCCCACGTTCCAGGTGACCAGGTGCAGCCTGCGGGGGGGAGGGGGGGAGAGAGAAGAGGGGTGTCAGCCCGGCGGCGGAGGGGACCCGGCGGGGCAGGCCGGTGGAGGGGTGGGGGGCAAAGCTCCTCACCGGAGCCGCTGCGCCGCCGCCTCCATCTCCTCCGAGGCGGGGAAACCAGGATGAGAGCGGCGGCCAGCGCCGGCCCAGCTCCTCGCCCGCGCACGACGTCACCCGCGCCCATTGGTTGCCGCGGCGCAGGCGCAATTTGCCCGGGTCCCGCCTCCGCCGCCGGCCTCTCGCGCCCCGCCCGCCCGCCCGCCCGGGGGAGCTTGCCGCATGCGCAAGGCGGCCCCGGGAGGCAGGTGAGGCGCCGCTTCCGCCTTGAGAAGGGCCGCGGTGCCCGGTGGCCTCTCGGGCCGGGAAGAGGCCGGAACCCACGAAAGGCGGGGCCTGAGTCGAGCCGGGATGGCGGGGGGAAGGTTTCCGCGGATGGTCCGGCGCCTCTTCCTGAGGGGAACCCGGTTTGGGCCTCCCACCCGCCGGTTCCGTCGGTCCGAGACCCCGGCCTCCCTCCCCTGCCAAGGGGTGATGCCTGGTGGCTCCGTGCGCGGCCCCGCCGCCAACCCCTGCACGGGCAGTCCTCGCTTCCCGACCGTGCATCGTCCAGTGACCGGGGAAAGCGTCCCCCCGGCGGTCCTTCTAACCCCCCGCGCCGGCCGCCCCCCCCCCCCCCGCAGAGCAGGCGGGAGAGCAAGAGATCGCAAGGCTTCCTCCTCCCCCGCAGCGTCCCCCGACTGGTCCCGGTCCGCGGCCTGGGAGGGACAACCGGCCCGTGCAAGCGAAGCGTCGTCTGTGCAGCTCCTCAGTCTGGAACCCATATTGGGTATCTGATATTAGCGCAGTTGAGAAAGTCCAGAAATATCTCACAAGAAGAGTTTTCCACTCCTCTACTCGTTGCAGAATACCTTATGCCACCAGAGTTGAAATTCTAGACCTAGAAAACCCAGAACTACGCCGCCTTCGGTCCGATCTAAGTATAGTGTATAAAATCATACATTGCAATGTCCTACCTGTCAATGAATACTTCAGCTTCAACCATAACAATACAAGAGCAAACAATAGATACAAACTCAAGGTTAACCGCACAAAACTTGATTGCAGGAAATACGACTTCAGCAACAGAGTGGTCAATGTCTGGAATACTCTACCTGACTCTGTGGTTTCTTCCCCAAACCCCCAAAACTTTTACCCTTAAACTTTCTACTATTGACCTCATCCCTTTCCTAAGAGGTCTGTAGGGGGCGTGCATAAGCGCACCAATGTGCCTACCATCCCTGTCCTATTGCTTCTTTTATTTTTTTTTATATGTATCCATGTATTCATAACTATGTTTTTACTTATACCTATTATCTTGTAAGCAATTGACAAACCAAATAAAATGAAAATAAAATAAATAAAACGGAGCTTGGGGGGCATCAGGGGCCAATCCTCTGCTATCTCCAGGGCAGTCCCCTGGGCCTTGAGTTTGATACCCCTGGTGTATAGGATCCCAGCCTCCACTCTCTGCTCTGTATTTCATCACCATAATAGAAACAAAGACTTTGAGACTAGAAAGAATGCATAGCAAGATGATTAGGAGCCAGTTGGAGGCCACAGAACAGATTTGAGTATGTCCAGCTTAATGAAAAGGACTAGGGGCAACATAGCATTTTCCAATATTTCAGGGGCTACCCAGAAAAAGACGGGGTCAACCTATCCTCCAGGATGCCTGAAGGTGGACAAGAAACAACAGATGGAAGCTAATGAGGAGAAAGGCAACCTAGAACTAAGGAGAAATTTCCTGACAGTGAGAACAATCAACTTTTTAGTTCTGCATTTAACACAATTTTTCCACATAAGACTAGTGTCTAAACTTCTGGACCTTGGACTTTCTTATTCAATCAGCCTTTGGATTATGGATTTCCTGTCTGGCCACTCACAGAGGGTCAGATTAGGTAATCATACCTCTTGAGTCCCTTACTCTATATGTGCATGACTGCATTCCAACTCACGCTAGTTAATACTACTGCTAAATTTGCAGATGATACAACAGTGGTGGGACTTATCTCCGGGGAGGTGGGGGGATGAGTCTGCCTACCAAGATGAAGTGGACCAATGGTTGCATTTGTGGTGCGGAGACAATAACTTGGTCCTCAACATCAATAAGACCAAGGAGTTTATAGTGGATTATAGAAGGAACAGATCAGACATCCAGCCCTTGCTTATCAATGAAAACCGAGTGGAGCGAGTGGACAGTTTTAAGTTTCTGGGTGTTACCCTAAAAGAGGACCTGACCTGGGAGGCTCACATTGCAGCCCTGGTCAAAAGGGCCCAGCAGAGATTAGACTACCTGAGACTTCTCAGAAAACAACTGAATGAAAAACTGCTGGGGACCTTCTACCGCTGCACCATAGAGAGCATATTAACTTCCTGCACACCTGTGTAGGGTTTGCCAGTTGCACAGGGGCTGATAGGATGTCACTCCTGAGGGTTAATGTCATTGCTCAGAGGATCCTCAGTTGCCCTCTCCCCTCTTTGGAAGAGCTTTATAGCTCCCGCTGCCTTAAGAAAGTTCAAAACATTCTCAATGATCCATCTCATCCTGGGAATCCTTTTTTTGGACTATTACCATCTGGCAGGTGGTACAGAATAATAAAAACAGGGACAAATAGGCTGAAAAACAGCTTCTATCCCAGGGCAGTAACTCTATTGAATTCTGCCACATAGTGCAGTGTTGGTGTGTCAGAGGTTTTCAGTTCAATGTGTGAAGGGTGAAGGATGTGTGTTTGTGTGTATTTCCATGGTCATGATGTGCACTGAAGATGGTGTTTGATTTCGTTGTACGAGGTGCAATGACAAAGTAAACTAAACTAAACTAAACTAAACTAAACTTGCTTGCAGAAGTTGTGCCCCAACACTGGAGGCTTTTAAGAGATTGGGCAACCATTTGTCTGAAATAGAATAGGATCTGCTTGACCAGGGCATGGACTAGAAGGCCTCCAAGGTTTCTTCCAACTCATTATTCTGATGTATAGATGAATAAGCACCTCCCTTGAAATCTCTCCAATTCCTCTGCTCTGCAGTGGGGAAGAGGGGGTCAGGCAAAGGAGAGATTTCCTATAGAAATTACTTGCTCCTCATTCTGCAAAACAGAGAATGGAGCTTCCAGGACGACCAAGGCGGCTCCCCAAAGGAGGGGAGTAGCTAGGAGGCCTTCCAAAGTTGTGGAATTTACTAGTCTTGTCTCCTTCCAGCAGGAAAGCACGGTTGTAGTCACGGGATTTCCCACTTTGCAGCTGTTTCATTAAGGGGCAGAACTGCCACACTTAATTGGGTTCATTCAATGAGGACTATCTCTATGACCTCCCAGCTGTCACTGTAATTGATTCATGGAAATTAATATCAGAGAGGTAGCATAAGGTGTAAGGCAGAGATTGAATTTCCCAAATCCCAGGATCCCTCGGAATAAAAACTCACACAAGGTGCTCTTCTGTCTATGATTTTATTAAGAGTTATCTCCAATAGGCCTGTATTGGAGAAGATTGGGAGACCAAAAAAGGCACAACTCACAGTAAAGAAACAATGAAGATCATCTAACCTATCCTACAGAGCGGGTGCCAGAGAAACAAATAGCTCGGGGAACCCGGCTGGACTGGTCAGGGAGCCCTCGCAGGGTCGCCAGAAAAGAAACAGAGAAAAACAAGAGCATGCTACAGGGGGGGTGCGGTGGGGGGGGAGGGGGGGGCACGCGTTGACCCGTCGGAGCTTCGACCATCACAACACAAAGCCAGTGGAACCTGCTCTTTGCGTCTCAGCGCTCAGCTCGTAGCTCCCCCGTCACAAGCCCCTTTCAGGGTTGAGGATTCTGGACCGCAAAACCAGACACAACGCAACGCACGGGAGCGGCTGCATTGGCCTCCATCGCCACTTGCTCTCCTTGGCAGGAAACATAGGGGAGGGGGCAGTAACCACTGCCAATGGGGGGGGGGGACGGAGCGCTCTGCAGGAGCCTCAGCTGCAGCTGGGGGGGGGGCGCACCGGGTCAACGCCAATGCAGGACACGCAGTGGGGCAGGGTCTGCACTTGTCTTGCTGCTAAGCAAGGAAGTTATGTTTTAATAAGAATTCTTGCCTTTTCCTGCTAGAGTCATTTTAATTCCCTCCCTCGTCCTCGAAATGTCACCATCTGTTCCCAGAGATGCCTGTCCCCCGCCAGAAAGCCTCCGAATTAAACCCAAATCTTTTAAGCAGATCCTCTTAGCCACACAATAATTCTCTGTGTTGTAGTTCTCTGCGTTTTGGAGGGGAGAGGATTACTAGGTGCCCGCGTGCCTCAGAGGAGAGGGAGGACCAGTGGGACACAGCCGGATCCCAAAGAACTTGGCCTGGCCGGCCGGGGACATTCCAGCCCCGCTTTAATTCTGCCTCCTGTGCCCAGAAACCACCAACTTCCTGAAAAGCCCTCTTGGCTCAACGCGAAAGCCATAGAGGCCCTGCCAAGGAAGACCCCTTGGGCCACAGCAGGACAGGCTGGCTTACTGCACTTAAGGCAAGAAACTAATTGGCAGGCGAGGAATGGGGGAGAGCGGGGAGGGGGAAGCCTCCGTCCTCCCCAAAGCCCACTCTCTAACCTCTCCTCCGACATCGCTGCGGAGGCCGAGGCAGAGATCCAGGGATGGAATCCCCCGCCCCACGGTGGGCGTTTGCTCCCCCTTGCTCATGCGATCGTCTGAAGGGGAGCCCAGTGCCAGGGTGGGCCGGGGACCTTTCCCAAAGGCCTAAATCCCAATTCAGGCAACCCCAGGAAAGAGGAGCTGAATGTGGTTTGGTCAGATGAGCGAGACCCTCCCCACTCAGAGGGGAGAGGGGCTTCCACTGTTGTTCCTGAGCTCCAGGACACACAGTGCCAAAGAAGTGGCGGCAGCCTGAGTGTGTGTGTGTGTGTGTGTGTGTGTGTGTGTGTGTGTGTGTGTGTGTGTGTGTAAGGAGAAGTGACCACGAGGTGATTGGGGAAACCGTGTGCCAACAGCCAAACCTGCACCGAGGGGGCCAGAGACGCACCCAAGACAAGACTATTCTTTAGAGGAAAGAGGCTTCCAGATGGCAGCATTTGTGGCGCTCAGCGCTGAGCTCCCGTCGTCTCCACAAGTGCAGTGCCATCCAGGATTCGGAAGAGGGGAAACACAGACAGGGACCAAGGAACTCTTAAATCACCACATCACGAAACTACTTCAAAAAAACCTGCCACTTGGAAACCAAAGAGTCACATGAGAACCGGTGTGTGCCCCTCCCTGGGGAAACGGGGTAGTCACAGAAGCAGCTGTCCTGAAGGGCCGCCTCTTTCCTGGGCACCGCGGCCCGGGCGCTCAGGACCAAAGGATTTGCTCACTAGATTAAGGGCAACTAGAATTAGCAGAAGGGGGGGGCCAGGAGTTGCCGGCCGACTGGAGGAAGAGGGCTTGAGTGTCCAGAGACGGTCCGCTGGTCAAGAGGGTGGAGTTCCTGGGCCTTCCCACAGACTCTCTCGCGAACTGCAGGACGAGAGAAGGGAGGAGTGGGCCTGGGGATGAGAGGCCAGCCGGGGGGCACCGCCAAGCAGTTGTGGGCACCTGGGACCCTGCCTGGAAAAGGCTCTGCCTGGTTCTGACCGCCAGCCAGCCCTCAGGCCCCCACTCAGCCCTAGGGGCTCTTCCCCCCCCCC